GAAGGAAACGTAGCTCATGCCGGACATAATGACACAATTTTCTAAATGTTTACGTTCAAATCGAATAATTGATAAGCAACGGTATCTTCTTGAAGCACGTGCCCAAAACGTGACGGTCAACAATCGAGATGCCACGTAAAGATTATATCGCAGAATCGTGTCAAGTTCTTACAATTAGTAGAGCTCCGCTCTAAACATCAGCTTCTTGAAATCGTTGTATACAAGCTTTGACCAAAATGTCATCGTCCAGTGAGCAAGAGAAGCGTCGTAATACGACACACACCGGAAAGACACACATTTATTTTCTTCTGCGATTCGTGTCGCACACAAAACACCGGTAGCTACTCCTGCGCTGTATCGCGTAGATAGATAAGTGAACGACCTTAAGTGCAACGGTATTTGTGCGTGATTTTCAAAGCACGTTTGACAACGGCACGTATATACCTACATATGACGCGCGTACAGGTACGGCGTGCCGAAACTGCTCCAGTTACCTCGCCCGGATCCGCTGCGACAACTCCGTCGCGTAGATTACAGCCTAAGACACAATTGAAAAGCACAGGCAATAGAAACGGGGAATAACAGATTTCAACCTATCAGAAATCATATGTACCAAAATACACAGTTTTTGATAAGTTGAAATCTGTTATTATTCCTGTACTTTTCAATTGTGTCTGAAGGATTTATACTGTCAACTTATTCCGTGATCTGTAAGAATTGACCAATCACAGTCGAGTATTCCCCTCTTATTTGACTGTGATTGGTTAATTCTTACAGATTACGGTATAAATTAACAGATTAGTATAAATAATCCTTTAGGCTTTAGACACTCTCGTGTGGATATAAATGGAACAACCTTCGTGAGCTATATTGCGGTAGAAAAAATATCGCGGAAAATTAAAAATATTTAATATAAAACAAGAAAGGAAAGAAAGTCTTTAACGGTCAAGCTGCTTCTAAAGTGCTTAAATAATTCTATGTAAATTTATATACTGTCTATGTAGTCATTTAAATTGTGCGTCGTATTTATTTTTTTATTTTGAAACGCAAACCGATTGAACTGCAGTAGTAATATCATAAATTAAATGTTTAGCAATTTACTATGTTTAATATAATTTTTTCATTGGTTGTGCAATAAATGGATAAGATGGACGAGCAGATAAGATTTAGGTACCTTCTGTTACAATATATTTCATAATATGAAATTTCGATATTTAAATTTAGATTTATATTGCGAATTATTTATGATACTGGAGAGGAAAGATTATAAGTCTTAAAAAAGAGACGAGAAAAATATTTATTACATATAAAATATATGTAGACGAAAATACAAAGTAGTAACTCAGAATTAGAGTCAATGTTTATAGATATTAATTAAGCACATTAATCTTAAATTTGTCATCGATTAACATAAGATCGTAATATTGAGAAATAAATATATTCCAGCGATACTATTATGTTTTGGAAATATCTTTCATAATGTTAATTTCAAAATATTATTCTGCTTTTTACAAGAGATAGAAAGATGACTTGATAATGTTCAACTTATTTCACTGAATGGCAAATTTTAAGAATTATCATATAAATACGTTCATAAGAACAAGTAACAGTACTTAGAGTTCTAATATAAACCAGCGCAAAAAACGACGAAGAAAGTTCGCAAATCTCCTGGAAGTATGTTATTAAGTTGACACGGTGGATAAACTTGTCTGATTTTTGTACAGTTGCTATCGTGACTGTTGATTTTTGAAAATGGCACGAGCACGAAACCGCTCGTATTTCTAGGTGGCAGGAAAAGAAATTCGAAAGCCAAGGACTTGTTGTGGATGATCCTATGATCAGAAATATGTCTGGACTCTCGAGAAGCACATTCCAAAGGGAAGGTCGCGGGAGGAGGAGAGAAAAGGAAACGGACAAGAAGAGATTGAGAAAAGGGAAATTTTATTACGGTTCGGTATACAAGTTCTTTAAATATGATACATTGGCGTACAGTCATAATAATTACTTTTCTCGTATCGCAATCATTTTTTACGATAAGTAGAGAGTGATGTAAGATAAAACGAAAATAGATAATATCTACTGCGTAATTATCAAGGCGAGAGTACAACAAGGAGAATTGTAGCGATAGCGAAGATAGTAATGATGAGAGTAATTCTAATTGTACTGCAGTAGATAGTGGGAATCATTTTCACGATACATAATAGGATAATATTGGTAAAACAAAGGAGGAGGCGCTCATTAATAATTGCAAGTCTTCTTGCATCAGCACCAAGTCTAGTTCGAAGATAGACTGAAGAAGTCGAAAATTTAAAAGAACTGCAGAATGACGGTGAGAGTGAAATGGATGGGAATACGAGATGAACAAGGATCTGGATGAGTAGTATGAAGGAGATACGCCGGCACGCATTCCATTCAAAGGATCTTTTGGTTGGAATGGACCCGGGTGCCCTTCGCTAGTTGCTCCGGAGGACCGTATTGTCCGCGTCGGACCATTCGCGGCTAGCAGGACGAGGGACCGGAGGGGAAGCGGGAAGGGATTGGGGGAGGTGGTATCGCGGGACCCCAGCAGGGCACCCAACTTAACCTCTCAAAGCAAACGGTCAAAACGCAACCAAAACGGAGTCCACTTACCTCGTTACTCGTTTGTGCCGCGCTGCACTCAGATGATACTTTCCTCGTCATTCACCGTCACGACCACTGTCGTTTCCGGATATTCCAAAGCACTATCGTCGATATCACAGTAATAAAATATAACTATATGTCATAAATGTCAAAACACCCGGGCGCCCTGCGCGCTGCATCATCCTGCGTTCGTTTGAAAAGCGATGCTCGGTGCAAGTGTGACTCCGGAATTCGCAACACAGGTTCTAACTCGATCTTGTTTGGGTTACCACGTCGCTTGTGTTCCCCTATTTTTCGAAATTATATACTACGTCGTTGTAATGAAAGATCTCTTATACATGTGCGTACTGATCGCCGCGGATAAGACACGAAAAATACCAGGCCGTAAGGATCGCGCGCTACGCTTCGAAGCGGCAGAGAAGTGTGGCAGACGCCGACCGAGCGATGTGTTGCCGTTTTGACCTGCCTGCAAACTGACCAATCATCGCGCAGGTGGCATCCCGCTGTCCCAGCAGTCCCTGACTCCCTGCTGGTGGCAGGCGCAGGGGAAGGGACTTAACCACCTGCCGCGCGACCTGCTGGAATAAGATCAATTCATAAGAGACTCCAGGTTTGTTTGAACAGTAGTCTGCCAACTCGATTTGGTTGTTGGTAACGTAGAACCTCGTCCATCCACTCGTCCTGGATCATTCGATATTTTTGAAACATTGTCAAATGAAATGTTTAGGTTCACATTTACCTATAGAATTTAAATGTCTCTGCTAAGATTTAGAACGAAATTACTGCTCCAAATTTGCTTTAACGACACTCAGTCTATACTAATCAGTCGTTGATAATATAGAACTACATCCATGAACGACGGATGGTAGATGATTCAACGTTCTGAAACATTATCATTGAATGAACAGTGTCATTAGGTTTACAATATGAATATTTAAGGCTGAAACTATTAATGAAGTTTCCTTTGTTGCCACTTACTGATAGAGTCTCTCACATTAAATTACATTATTCGAAAGTCGGAAAAATATATAGCACTTTTGTGTCTAATAGAGATATTAAAAATTTTTTTTCATCAATGAAACTCTTGAAGAAATAAAATGCAACTTTGATGTATTTATCAATATTATAAAATTGCGGAATATCATTTTATTCATTGGCAGATTGAGAGAGAGAGAGAGAGATGTGAACATTATAATATTTTTAAAATTTATCAATAATATAATCCAGAAATTCTTTTTGCTCCATTAGCAATGGCGTTCGTGCATAATAATACTGTATATTAATTATTAATATTTATTACTAAGTCACGTGTCATGATCATTGCGATAAAGCCAGGGAAAATCAACAGTTGCGTTTGAAGATCTTTATCAGTGATGAGGTTTAATATATCGCTTGGCGACTCCGACGTGGGGAAAATATTACGAGGCGGACCTCGCGCGCGGTGCTTCAAGGCTGATCCGGCATAGGTACTTATTGTATCAAGTCTCGTTAACGGAGATGTTCATTCACTCGCACCGGCCAGATGACCAGTATGGTTCGCGTAACTCATCACCGCTGTCGCGTCCTATCAACCTCATATCGCGCGATAGCAAAGTAGTCAGAAAGATCAATAACGGACTTGTCGATGATATGTGCCTAAAGTATCGGTCCTACATCATGGAAACGCAATTGATGTGTCAGCACGTTTGACGACGATGGCAGCGCTGGTTCGTCTTAAACGCGGTAGCGTCCAGTTGAGACACGCGGCACTCGAGGTCAAAGGTACGTTGTGCCCTCAATCGACTTCCTTTGGCAACGAGTTTCCGGAATTTTTAATGCATTATTATTGCGCTATGATTACGTAGACGATTAATAAACGATTTACGACGCAAAACGATTTTACGTCTGTCGAGTTAAAGGAAGTGAATAACTTATCAATTATTCATACAACGTATCGTGAAACGACGGCGTAATCTTTAGTCAGATTCTTCGATTAATATGAAATTAAATTTTCCATATTAAAAATCTCTCTTAAGATTACTATACATTCAATTTTAGTTATAAATTATAAATTTGGTGTCAGCATCCTACACTTATTAGTGGCGTTATTACTCGCTCCGGTTACATATTTATCTGTAATTCGCATGAAACGAACTAGTGTTAGGATCAGCAGAAGCGTAAAAATCACTATTTCTTAGATTAACATTACTGAATTAATAGCGTTACGCGTTCATTGTCTTGTCAAAAAGTCAGCTATTTGCGTTTCATCATTGCCGAGCCAAAGTCGAGGTCACCTGTACACTCGGAGTAGTGGAGAGATAGTGCGCGAAGAATCAAACACTGGGGCGTGATAAAAGCGAGATGTCGCGGTCGATCTCATTATTTTTGGGTTCTGTGAGATGGCAGACTTCGTCAAGAGAGGTAGCGTGCAGTTCGTTAAACGTGGCAGTTGTCAACTAAAACTCGCTGCGCAAGAGGTTCGAGGTTCGTCAAAATTCTAATCACTGTAACTAATTTTATTTCTTACATCGTGCGCGTGAGATCTAATTTTATTTCGCGTTGTCGCGCGGCTAAACTTTAAGTAACTTCATCCATACTTATTATCTACTTTTATTTAATGTCTTATATAATTAATTATTTATTTTAACAAATTAATAAAGAGAGTTTCTTTTGAAAGTTGCGTTTTATAGTTAAATATTTTGACTGTGATATATGAGTTTATATATTAATCTACAATCTAATATTATCGAACTGTTATGATTAATGTTTGTGTGTTTTGTAATTTTACAAATATTATTTTTACACGTAAAAAGCCACTCGACACAAGTGCCTTTTAAATTTAGAATTTGTACGCAAGATATTATCGTGCCAGTCGTTTGAGTAAGTTATCAAAATCAAACATTGCTGTACTCCGACGTTTGGAGACTATGATAATGGATGTATGTACATATACACACATGAAAATTTCTTTTGTTACTATTATAATTTGAATGATAGAGATTCTGTAAAAAATGTGAAAACTTAGCTCTGCGCAATATAATTAATAATGCATATCTACCGTTCTATTCAATAATTTTTTTATTAAATAATTCCCTCGATAGTAAATAAAAAATTCACAATAAAGAGTTCAAGTGGCTTATAATTCAAATTAATCAAATAAAGGGCATATGCCACAATGCAAGATTTAGTTAGCGAAATAATATTTTATTCTGATACATGTATATAAATATAATAGACGTTTCTGCCTCGATCAGGCCTTCTTCAGTATAAACAATAATAAAATTCTTGGATAAATATTTACAAAATAAGTCACACGATCAAATCACAAATTATTTGATTCTTTTTCTGATTTTTACTGAGACAATTTGATATTATTAAAATATTCATAAGATTTTTATCAACGACGCGATACGATTAATCTTTTAATGATCTTTATTTGATCTTTATTGATTATGAAATTATTTGCAAGTTTTAGAGATTTTTTTATCGGTAATTTGATCAAATTGGTCGCGACTATTACGATTATCATGTAATTACATTGCTATTTGTTAGCGGCTGTACGAGCGCGACACATCGTCGCCGGTCTAGTCGCTGTTGGATTTGCGCTTTGCGGCGCAGTCGAAGTCAGCTCCTCCGTCGCACTACTGGCGAATCAGAAAGACAATCATGCCATCATCGACACATCTTGGCACTGCGATATGCTGGTCAATATCACCAGCCGCAATCGCACCGAAGACTTCGAAATTATATTTATGGAGGTATACATATACCTAGATATTTTGCCTCATATTTCAGTGGTAAATGTGGTACTCCCTACTTTTATTTGTCTAACAAATTTTTATTCGTTAGTACGAAAGCAAATTAAACGAGATTGATGTTGTGATAGCGCTTCGTTTTGCATTAATAATTAATGATTCATTTGAATTACCAGTTTGCAAGCTATTCCAAGAAGTAAATGTGCATGTTACACTAAAAAACAGTTATGCTCTGCAACGCTACGTTGCAGAATAACATTTATAATCCATGTTATGAACGACAGCTGCCACAGGAGGAGCGAGCGGAATCGATTATGCGTGAGGCGTTCTTATGGGGACAAGTCGCCGGTCCGATCCTGGGAGGTTGCCTGGTGTGGGGCCGATCAGGGCCCTCCATGGTGTTCTCACGTGCAGTTCTTAGCGCCTGCTTAGCGTCTCTATTAGTACCTGCAGCTTGGCGCGGACCGTCGCATGTCGCGCTTCGGTTGTTTCAAGGATTATGCACCGTAAGTCGGCGCGCAGACTTTATTACCGCCGTTCCCAAGCGCTTCGCAATGACGTGAACTCGATTTTGCGTAGCACCGTAAAACATGACGCCGGCATAAAACATTCGCGCGAGAATCATTACGACATCCTCTTTTGCAGGGCGCAACCATGCCTGCTGCTCACATGTTCGCTATGACCTGGTTTAAGAGCAATCACAGAAGCTGGTACTTCAGTTGTTATGCAGGTATATTGGGGATTGCGAATACGACCGTTTAAATTATAAGTAAAAAGAACAAAGAACTCTCCGAGTCGTTCATTATTATAATGTTTTGTAGTAAAAACAGATTTGCATATTTGCATATTCTACGACAGTGACACCTTTTCAAGAATCACTTTCAGAAAGCCATTTTTAGAAATAGGTGTAAAATCTTTGGGATACATAACGTTTATTTCGTTTGTATAAAATAAATATGATTTTATGTTTTTTCAACTATATGTCGGTGAAGCACAAAAAATTCACGGGACTGCAAATTGCGCATTACTGCTCTACAGCATATTACATCATGTTCTTCAATTTGTAGGATATCCTTAAAAATATTCTTCACTGACAATGATGAGTGTTACCAGTCTACATGATCCAAATTACTCGACTAATCCTAATTCCCATGCTTTAAGCTGTCAGCGTGGGTTACTGTCTCACTGGATGGCTGGGCACCGCGGTGGTGCGAACGTTCGGTCGCGATTCTTTGTGTTACGGTCTGGTTCTTTTGGCACTCTGCTGGTATTTCGCCTTCGGCCGGTTTGTTAAGGACACGCCAAAGTCCTATCAACATGATACAACTGTAAGCAACACTTTCGATCTATTTAGCGAGCATTCGCAACACTCTCGGAAGTTATTAAAGTAGTTGGACGTGCTAATTAGTAGCCTGATAAGAGTTGAAGACATAGTTGAAAGCTTCTATGTAGTCTCTAGAAATTTTCCATTCGCTAATTAGTACTTGTGACAAACCTGTCATGCGATGGGTAACATTGACTTACCAGATTACTTAAGATTTATCACATGTATGTACCTAACCTTTTAGACATTTTTTAACATGTAACTACGAGATTAGTAATTATCACAGGCGGCTGTGATACCATGGGGAAAGCTGTTGAGATCCGTACCCGTTTGGGCGTCCGCAGTGGCGACGATGGGTAATCAGTGGGGTGACGCGACGCTTGCACTTGGCATGACGAAGTACCTGAAGCTTATCTATGGGTTTTCTACAGCTAACGTAAGTTGGCTAAGATTGTTTTTATTTACTACTATTTTAACATTAAAAACATCCCATAAATATTCAAATGAAAAACCGCCTGAAATATTAAAACAAAAAGGATATAAACTTTAAAATTTAAAAATTATAAGTTCATGCAAAAAAAGATAAGGCACTACAATCTGCTTTAATTAAATAAGAGTTTCTTCTTATGTGTGTCACATATCGATCGATTCTCACTTATTATGTACTTACAATATTTAATATTCAGACCGATATTACGGAGATAGTTGCGAGCTCGTAGGTTTCGCAGTCTCACCTCGTTATTAAATTGTAATTCAATTCAGGACTCTGTGTTGACCACGTTACCTCACATCGGTCACTTCATGGCTGCGCTGACCTGCGGCCTCCTGGTAGATCACGTCCGCGAATCTAAAATAGTTTCCACGACCACGGCGAGAAAGTTGGTCGTCTATACAGGTGCGTTATGTGTATTTCCGATATTACGTCTACAATACTACAATATAAATAAAAATAGTAAGTTCACTTTTCCAATTTTGGAGCCACTTAATTATTTTTGCGTATGCGTAAATCGCACAGTTTGCGAGATGACGATTGCGATATTCACCAATTAGTTTCTTCTATTCTAATAAAGTGATCACATTTATATGATCTAAGTTTACTATTGGATCTAGAAAATCAATAAGAGCAAAGCAATTTGCTAACTTCGCTCTTATGGCTTGCCCGCGTACAGGTAACATAATTGACTGGTGGCGATCAAAGGTGTCGACATAAAATAAATCTATTGTTTTTAAATATACTGTGATATTATTATGACTCGTGCAAAAATTTTGACCACTTGGTAATTTTCACTCTCAACGCTAAGTAGAGTAAATTTATATAAAGTACATACATAGAATTAATTTATATAACAAGAGGTAATTTTCGTTTTTTATATTCTTTGCCAATTCTCAATGAAAACGTTTTGAATTATAAGAAATGTGTAACATGAAAATTTAACAATATTGAAATTCAGCAATATTATTGTAGCCATTGAAAAGTACGCAATACTGATACGTTATATATAGATTACTTATTTCATGCTGCGAGGTAAACTGATTGTTGGCGTTACCTTGCTCTGATTGTGAGAGTAATAGCTTATGAGATCTCATTACGATAATTGAAGATGGAAAGTCTTAGACATGTTGAGTAATGGTTTTATCCTACTACTAAAAACTAAAGGTTTTATCCCACGTAACATAATAAGAATATTTTCTCGACACGTCTCTCTGACTCTGCTTATAAGGGAATTGCTTGAAGTGTCAAATTTTTATTTTAATGAAACTTTGTATACATATTGGTTACGTAAATAGATGAAAGTATCAGTTGTAGCTAATAAACGGTAAAATATTTAAAAAATGAAATCACTCTTCACATTTAAAATAGTTTTCAGTTTTTTTTTGTTATATCTCAAAAACTGTTTAAGATATAAAAAAATGTTCCATATGAAAGTTTTCTATTAACTTATCTTTTTATTTAGGCATGACAATAATATTTCTTAAAAATAATTTTGTAAATATAGATTTTGGAAAAAATTATTTTTTGAAAACGTGACGTAGATAAACGGAGGCAATCTTATTATAAAAATATTGTATAAAATGGTTTAATCTTTTAAAACTGTTTACTGGCCTTAATCGATATTTTCTAAATATATTTACGTAATCTATATGCACACAAAGTTTCATTAAAATCAGAATTTGCTATTCTACGAGAGGTTCCCCTTGTTAGTATTCTCAGTAATACCGAATTGAATGCGATTAGCGCACTTCATCCCCGCGGCCCTTCTCTTCGTCGCTGGTTACGCTGGCTGCCAGGCTCTGGGTGCTGCCTGGCTGGGGATAGCAGCCCTCCTCGTTTCTGGCACCGCACCGGCCGGTGCACTCGCAGCCATAGCTGATCTCGCACCTGCGGAGTCACCGGCGTGCGCCGCGGCCGCGTGCGCTCTTTGCTCCACGCTGGGCGCCGCGGGACTGCTGGCCGCCAATTACTTCGTCACCCAGGCTCTTCATGGCTCCGTAAGTCGAGTTACTATGACGCAGGCACGCGCGTTATCCGCCCGCGCAAACGTAATAACGCATTAAGTAGCTTCGTACATCCGCGAACATTAAATGTCGGATTACATAACAAAGATTTAGCGACGAGTCTTTCCTTCTTTCTACGTTCGCATGAGCCGTCCCTCGTTACTTTTCACTTAAATAGTTATTAATTATTTTGTGCCTAATTGCACATTGTTTTAAATAAGAACATAATATATTTGCGTAATATTTAGGATTTTTAATTTAAAATAAAAGAAGAATATTTTAATATTTTTTTTACATTTTGTTGTATACATTTTTGTTGATTAATTTTGACATAAATGTTGAAAGATGAACAACTTTATTGCTGCTCTGTTCCTCAAATAATAATTAGGAGATTGCATAGAAATTCTAATATGATTGTAATTCGCTACGGCTGACAAACATTTTTTTTTATTTTTTAATCCGATTTTAAATTTTAATTCGCGTTTGCGATGTTCGTCCGTTTTAGATCGCTGGTTCTTGGCGATTGGTGTTCGGTGTTGCTTCTGTCGTCTTACTGACGACCGCTGCGGTTTTTCTGGCTCTCGGCAAAGGCGTTCCGCAACCGTGGATCCCATCTGTGGCGAGACCGCGGAGTCACGACGTAATCTACGAGCAAGACGCGTTGGAGCTTGATCACGAGGACGTGGGCGTGCAGACCGAGCCCTTCGTGCCCTATTCGCTCGAGGACGACATCGAGAGTTTGAAAAACGTACCCCGCTCTTCATCCATTCACTCGAAGATCTCGGTGGCCTCCAATTAAATCGCGAGTGCCCTTGTACCAATTCTCTGTGCTATTTTCATGCCTCATATTGCACCAAGGATATTCTATCCCCCCCGGATTATTACGATAAGAAAAACGATGTACAGTAAACATATATTGCAAATGCACACGCGATTAACACGATAAATGTATATAAGGTTTAAGAATAAGAATAAAAGTTTATACGATAACGATAGAATGTCCTCGAAGAATATCACTACGACAAAAATTGAAAAACTGAGTATTTAATTTTTTATCAAGATCTGCTTCTTGTAGAAAATTAAAGTTGCTGTTACGAATTGTCGTTAGATTTCGCGAAACACGATTTGAACAACCGAGGCCGGTCTAGATAAAATCGTTGTGAGACAATGCCATGAATAATAACAGGTAGATTCGCGGAGTGATATAATTTGACTCGTAGAAAGTCGATAGCTGATAAAAATGTCGCGCGTTGGAAACTCGAGGGACATGACAGGACAAATGTCAGGTAAGCGTCGCTTTTGTCTCGGATTATTCGCTTTCGACTATTGTTGTTGAAACGGCTTCGCCTCCATCGGGATATCTCGTGATTTTCTTCGCTCGCGTTATTTTCTAGCATACAAATCTATGCATTATGCCCATTTCTATGAGACACTATGTGCCCTCCTCGACGACTTTCTATCTCTGGAGTAAGAGTGAGAGACGAACCAGTGCGGCGAATACGGTGGACGCTTTAATTAGATAATCTTACAGATCCGCGTATTCCTATCGGTGCTGATTCCATTGTGAAAACGCGCCTACGCCTTTGTAACTAGTGCATGCAATACCGGAATACCGGAAGACGTGTGCAAGACCCACTGTCCGTGCTGGCGAGTGTCCTCGCCTGTGTCCTAACGACGGCCTTTCGAATGCAAGCGTGCATATCCGGCACGCGTGGAAAAATCAGAACTACATTTTAGATTTCCGCGGAAAATAGCCTGCCGTTCGCCATGAATTAAAAATTATTTTGCACGTTGCTTTTCACACCGGAAACTCATTCGATCGACATTCTTAAGCAGAATGTTGAGTCAATACTGGCATTGCGATTACTTGCATGCATATGTTTTACTTCACTTATCAGTAATTGACACACGTATACTTCTGTACTTTGTACAAACAAAATTTTTGAAATTTTGGAATAAGTTTGTTTAATTTCTTTTTCTGAGGTATCAATGAAATTACTTGCACCCATAGTTAGGATAATCCGATAATCGATCCAATAATTGACAGTAGCTAATAGCCCGTTCAGACTAGAGATTAAAATTGAAACAGTTTAACGAATCGGAAGAAAGAGAATTTATATCAAGTTTAGTGAACTTTGCTTTGATTGATTAAATTCAATCTCAATCCCAGTCTCTAATCTAATATCAGCATTTATCGAAATATTAAATAAATTTAATTAGCTTTGTTAGACGAAGTAAATTAAAGTAATTTTTAATTCATTCCATCTATAAACCAATTAATAATTTGTATGATCATTAATGAATCGTTTTAATATTTTTAGTTATCCAGTTGACTCGTCTTTTGTTGCGTTGCCACTTGTGCAAATCGAACGTTCACCGAGCGGTGATTGTTCCGTTTCTCACGTACTGTTCGAATAAACGCGTGAGATATCTGCGTCGTGTGTCGCGCATAACGCTTTTTTCGACAAAGAAATTCGCTCGCAGACAACAGGCGGGCTTTCCGAATGCGTGGAAATCACGCGCGAGATCTCATGATCTACTCCCTCGGCTGCATATTCGCGCGTAAGTTTGCCGCGTAGACCCGACCGGGCAGGAATGTCGCAATGCGCGACGCTAATTACTGGCAGTAGACGCGTTACTATTCTTTCCTGGTAACGCCGACTCTCAGGGACTTATGAAATGAGTTCTCACACAACGTCTCGAAGTCTACCGTCCGACTCTTTCTTTATTTCGATGCGTATATATCACACTAATCTCTTACGTAACATCGTATTTACAGTCGTAAGCAGGGAGCATGTTAAAGATGCCTTAGGATCTAGAACTTTCGCTGGTATTGTCCGGTGCGTTTTAACAGAGTACCTCTCATAAAAGAGATTTCTTTTGAATACTCGTTTAAGATAGATGCATCAGTGATTGACTGTTGATAATAAATGCTCAATGTATTTGCTCGGTTTCTAAGAGATTGGTAAAAATAGACATAAGGAATAAGAATACCATATTTTTCAAAGTCGCGGATAATAATTACACTAGTTATCGTAATATATAACCATTATGCAATTATAAATTAAATTTGTCATCTATTGGAATGTTATTTACTGGTGATTTTGTTATTTCAACATTCTTTCCTCGTTATTAATTTTAAACGACATAATTTATATGCAAATCTCAGCAGCGTGAGAAAAATGTTATGCGATACCTGTAAGATAAATGTATGAGAAAATAAAATATCTTTACTTAGAAAAGAAATTTAATTATCCGACTATTACTTAGTTGGTTGTACACTGATGCACCTATTCTAAAGTACGTAAATATGCGTCAACAAATGTTGGCAAGCTATCGTGCAGAAAATCGGTCGGGCTGCGCAGCAACGATTTCCCTTTCGCGAAACGATTCGATTCATTAACGACACGAATGCGTCCGTTGCGTGTAAGACATTGATCCTTACATGCTGATGGACATATCCGTTCGTCCACTACAAAAAAAAGATTACCGTTGACGTAAGCCCCTTCGTCATGCTTAAATATACTACCGTGAGAATTTGATACCGTTCCAGGATAATTAGTGATGGTAAAAATTACATATTTAAGAATCGTTTGTTGGAAGCAAATTCGTTAACTTTTGTCAAGGTTCTTTCATCTTGTAAAAAAAGTCGTAACAATTAAGTTAAAATTCTACAATAATTTAACTCGTTTTATGTACTTGCAATAAGTAATACTTTTTCGTAATTCCTAACTACTTCTAACCCACTCGTTACATCTTTTTCCTCGTGTCCTTTTCCTCCTCATCGTCCGTAATGATCTGCACGCTTCTGACTGGGCCTGCCTTTCTGTATCTCGATGCTGGTGTCGTGGTGGTCATCGGAACGGTCGTTGATCGTTCGGTGTTGATCGCTAGATTTACCATTCGCAGCAGCAAAGCTTCCCTAATAGGCGCTGGTAAGATCTCGTCATTTTCGTCTACGTCATGTGTGTAAAATTTCTGCCTATACACTCTTTTGGGATATCTGTCGTGGTACTCGTCATACTGGGGTTGATAGAGCGGGCTTAGAGCCCGAGGGTACACCGGACGTCTCAGGGACACTCGCTCACCGTATTGCGCTTGTTGATCGAACGCGAGTTCGGGTCTCGGAAGCGGCGCCTGAAAGCCCGCTGGATACGAAGGATATGGCTGCTGATCATATAAAGCATCTTCGAGGAAGCTCTTTGGGTATGATAGGGCTTGTATGCCATATTGGCTCACCAGTAGCCTCCTTAGCAACGTTTGGAAGTCTCGTCGACTCAGAGGCGGTGCGATCGGATTCGGTGGCTCTGGAGGCAGCGGCAGTGCGCCAGTCCGGTAAGGATATACAGTCTCGGGCGTGGTTGCCTGATAGTCCCTGTCGTCAGGATGAACTACTGCATTTGGAATTGGTCGCAGGATCGGCCGTGCTCTTTGGTCGGCGTCCGAATACATCAGCGGTCGTACAGGACGTGGACGCATATAGTTCATGTTTATTGCGATCCGCGCCTCATCTTCGGGATCGGGTACGGGAGTCTCCGTCAGGTAATGAACGTTGGCATCTGTCGTGCTCGAGTAGACCGGCTGATGATTCGACGGAGGCCTTAACAGGATTCTACTGATCGGTATTGCTCTGTAGACGCCTCCCTCTTCCTCGAGATTGCCCGGTTGGGACGGAACGAGTATCCTGGGCGGCAATTCTCGCAGATACTGCTCGGGCTGCTGTCTCATGAAGACAGGCTCGGTGCTCTGTCTGACATAGTTCCGAATATCTGCTGGTACCCTAGTTGTAGAACCGTGAAGTAGGGTCTGCTGAGTCGACGTACGCTCCTCCTGGGTGGGTTTCGTCTCAGTCTCGTAGACCCGAGAATCTTCGTACTTCGGACTATCGAATCGACCACCCGCTCCTAGATTTTCTTGACGATTGACATAGAATTTCGGTCGTTCTGTGCGCGGAGTAGTGGAAACCCTCTGGAGAATTCGCGATGGAGATGTCGTGGTGAACAAAGGACGCGTCGTGGACAATGAACCGCCGTAAACGTCGGAATGTTCGTCGTTATCATCAGAATTCGACTTGGTTGTCTCGTCGTGCAATTGCCTCCTCAAGTTGTTCCCCGTCGTGATTTTGACCTCGTCTTCCTTCTCTACGAAATCCTCAGAGATCGGCGGGAGACTGTGTTCAATCGGTCGCTTGGCAAAGATGATCTTTCGATAAGCACCACTCTTGTCATCCGTACTGGGTCGATTAATTTGCGAATCTTCGTCTTCGATGTCTTCCTCTATGACGATCGGTCTCTGCTGGCCATTGATGACTAAACGCGGCCTATTCTTCGCCGTGCCCTTTAAGTAGTGTCCGAATATCGTCTTCGGTGCCTCTGTAGTGGTAGTGCTTGTGGTCGTCGTGGTGGTACTCGTAGTTGTCTTCCTTGTTCGAGGAATTGACTGTACCACTGACGGTCTGGTCGACGATTCCGTCGTCGTGGCGTACACGATGGTCGGTCTTTTCGTAGTTAACGTACGGTTAATGCGCGGCATACTTTGTACGACTGATACGTGTTCCTGCAATGGTGACATGGTGGTTGCTTTAAAACCCGTCCCGTTCGAAGAGGAGTACGAAACCCTCTTTATCTCGCCGTTAGCGTCGACAAAACCGAACGTGCCTTTAATGTTGCCCAAAACATCACGACTCTCGACCTGACAAAGCAAGTATTTTCCGTTCATTTTTTTCGTGAGAATGGCATGATTCTTACGTCTTGCACGAACAAATTAATCTTTTTATCAATACAATTATCATAAATGTGAAAAATAAAAAATGTTTTAATTAAATAATTTTATATAGATATGTATAACAAATATTACTAAACTAAATTATCTTGCTTTATTAAATATATTTAAATGATAACAATACATATTTCCAAAATATATTTCAATAATAATTTAAATTTAAACATTCACACATATTATTCGCTCTATTTATTAATTTAAATAACAGAATTTTTTGAAAGTTTTATAATTATTGATGAGAGCATAAATAAAATTGTATAATAAGGTATAACTTTTCTAATTGCCTGTCGTAATCATGGCAGTCCATTAGATTTTTATATCTATTGAAGTTACTGTTGATATAATTAAAATTGCCATTGGCATTGCTCACTTAGCACATTGTTATTTTAAATGCAATCAGAAATGAAAAGAATTGTTCCGGCTAATTAATATTCGATACTGTGGGAACCGATTGTGCGGTGCAATTTATGATTCTCGGAAAAATAGATGATAGGCGCGGTTAAATTACGCATATAATTACCTTGAATGAGCCATCACCAGCTTCGTAACCATACGTGTAAGAGCCGTCTTCGTTCACCTTTCTGATTTGCTTCAAGATCGCCACTTGATCATGTTGTGTTTCCGATGTTTGCTGGTCCGTGACGTTCGAACAGCTCGCGGTTGCCAGACAGAAGAATGCCATCAGCCATGGCGTCATCTTAAAAGGAAAGATGAATTTTCTCTATGAAGAAAACGCAGTAACTCAAACATGATGTGACGCTGATGCATTGTAAATATCACGATAAGATACCCATACAGCACACTTTATCCGAAGAATATCCTGAAAACGATTTTAGGACATAGAATATTCTCTGGATGTCTTTAGGACGTCCCTTGGAGATCTATGCTGTATGGATAGTGCCAAAAATTGCAATAAATCGTTGAATATACGAATTCTGAAATGACCAACTTAGATTTCAGTGCGTAGAAATTGCGTGCTCTTTAATTTATTCAACGATTATATATTCAAAACGAAATATTTCTAATACGCGTTCACGTTCACATAATGACGCACTTGTCACTCTACAGCATTTCGCGTCCTAAAACATTTTCTCAGAATAAATCTTGATGATGTATGGGCGAAACATCGCGTATACAATCGATTTGCCAAGGCGCACACTTTCCCACGGGCACCAATATCGGTTTCGCGAAAAAAATCATCGAAACATTTAGACCGTGCACTTGCATTTAGATTGATAATGACTGAAATTGATCTCGCTCTCTCCCTCTCTCTTTTTCTTACGCGGGCACCATGAACCACGTATTCGCGCACTCGCACCAGCTCGAAATACTCGGCGATATACCTTGTTGGAACTGGAAACCATGTTACCGCGGATGCGGTGAATGTTCTTAATACGGCGTGGGGTGTCGGGTGCCGTTATATATAGGGTGACACAATAGGCAACCACCGCCGCGCCCCTTCCACGGCGTAACGCGTCGCGCCGCCATGTTCAACCTTGATGACCCCTAAACATTCATTAAGGCGCTGGGATACTAAATGACAACTCTCCTGCTTAGTACAAATGCGAAGCGTCGCGTGCATTTTTACAACGCTTCGGTAGAAAATACACGACAATGAAGGCTCGTGGTTATGATTGCTCATCTCGATTATATGTTCTTTCGTTGCGCGCAATTGCACAAGACAGGATTACTCTAACGACTCGAAAATACGGGAAAAGTCACCGGATGATCGGCTGCTACGCGAAGTGGATGTCGAAAAGCGGCTGTATTTTTCCTTTTTTCGTTAAACAAATTAATTCGGTTAGTATTTAAGTTTTACATTTTGCTCGAGTTGCTTTTTTGTACGATGGATGTCCCTTTTCTTTTATTAACACCAGAACCATCGATAATATCCCATTAGAACCGAAGATGCCAATTTGTTAATTTCCTACCCTTGTTTTTATCAAGTGAAAAGTTATTTTAATATTACCTATAAGTCTCATAATATCAGAATTATTTGTTTTACATATTTTCAATGTTCTGTACTTATATCTAATACATAAAAGAAAAAAATTGAAATTATTAGCGAGGCTAAAATGGCATCATTGATTTTAGTGCACGGGAAAAACGATTACTGTTGCCACGACCAAAAGTCGCCCATCAATACAATTTTTTATTATAAAAACTATAGTACGATTGTGATCAACATATCTTAACGGTTATGGCTGTAAAGATATATTCATCTTACGGTTATCACAATCAAATATGATGAGCGAAAATTATTATTTCCGATTGTGGCAACCATAACATTTTTTCTGTGTATTAAAATACAGAATTTCGTTTAAATGTATAATAATAAAAGAAAAATTCATATACAAAATATTAATTATGTATATATAGAGGCTATGTGTATAAAAGCTGTGTTTTGCGAGTATCTCCATGTTCATATATATTCTTGACATATTAATGTTTTGTGAACGTTGGAATTTATTTCACCAGAACGAGGAGTAATCTAATATCTAGTTCAGAGTGCTTCTAAATACCGAATATATCAGACTGTTCCTCTTTCTAACAAAATGACCTGCCTGCAACGTTCACGAAATATTTCAAGAATGAATATGGACACGGATATAACCCGCTTGTTGATTCCACTGGTATACATTTCTGACTATTTCATAAAAATTACATAAAATTAAATACATTCAATTTTAATTAATGTTATTTATTATCTATTTCACATGCCTTTAAAAAACGTTTCCTTACATATACTAATTATTGCGACAAATTTCGTCAATTTCATTTGGTCGAATTGATAAAGATCGATAAGGCCTTCTTGTTACTTAGTTGTATGTTCACATACTAATTAATGTTATTTTTTATTGTTCAATTAATTTTATCTTTTTGAATTTACAATTGTGAGTTTAGAGTTTAAAAGACTGTTGAAAGTCTGAAAAATCACACAGTTTAATAATACCTCGAAGAAAGTGTATTGATAATGACAACGTAAAAGGACGGAAACGCGTTTGCTGTAGAGAGAATGAGCGTGATGTCCTGACAGAATGGAACATAAGAAGAAGTTTGGCTTTGCGGGGACAAGTGAAAGCCACGTGGGAGTTGACGGACGGGCAAGAAGCACACAGTAGTAGACTGTAAAATCTGTAACAATAGTTCCCATAGTGTGCAACACCGGTATTGTGGTATTCGCTCCACTCTAGGCACTCCCACAGGACAATTATTACATCATGCAATTTCCTCCGGGTTTCGTATTCACTTTTTTGATGCCACCTTGATATGCCTTGCGTTCGTGGACGTATCGGCTGTCTATCTCGCCTCGGCGTCGCACGTTTCCTCCGCGGGAGGATCATTGTCTCTCGCGGGCCCGTACCTCGGGGCCCGCGAATGCTAACGCGCGATCGGCGGACCTATTGAAATCTTAATAATTAAAATATGCAGGATATCCGGGAAAAGTATGGGGTACGTCAGGAGACACTAATACTTTCTCTTAGCTACTAATTACTCGACAAATCCGGAATCAGTACCTTTTTAATTTCTACACTCAACATTCTGATGAATAGATTATTGTTACTAAAATTACTTAATTATACAATTGCTGGAAGTTACATCACAGGTTAGCAGTTATTCGTAACATTGTTGGTTTTGTAATTGAAATTAATTTTTTATCGAAAGAAAATTTGTTTGAAATTGAATGAAGAATTTGATCTTGTTTTCTGTTTACGCTCTTGAAGCTTAATTCACCAAAACACTGTAATTCTCAACGTTGTATAACATTAATTAGACTTTCCGACAAGTTCTGCTAGAAAAAAGTCAACTCTTTTACATTACTTTGTTAATAAGAAACTGCTATTGAGTATCTTTTATTTAATTTTTGATTTTATAAATTACGAAGCATTTAATTTTTTACAAATTGTAATGTATTTGAGAAATTTCTATTAATTATAGTTTTTTAATTGTTGCTTAGGTACAGCTAAACAGCTAGACAATTGTGTGATTAGTTTCTTCTAAAGAAACTAGTAGTAGGTTTGGAGTTAATCGTAATGCAACTACCGGTTACACATGATCTCAATTATATTTCGACTGACACACCTACTTCGTTACCTACGAAATATCTCACATTATGTCCGTGGAAACTATAGGTCCGTGCTCCGTTTTCAGCGACTGTCAGTGGCCAAAAATCCACCGACACCGTTTCTTATTACGGCAATGATTCGGGCGTGCCGAAACAGTACCATGAGTGAATATTGCAAAACGTCTTAATATGTAATCAGGCAACTTGCATGACACAAATATTAGAATATGGATCATAAAATGTGATTAACATTTAAAATTTTTGACATATTTATGAAAAAGATGAATTATGAATTCTTGAAGAAAAAATTCCTGATTCATAATTAATAAATCCGTTTAAAAGAGCGTATTTTGTATGTTAAATATATTTTATTAAACATAGCTTCTCTTTTTTCACATCTCATTGCGTTTCTAAAAAAGTATATGACTGATTAGATAATATACAAATACAGAAATACAAATATCTAAGAATTAATCTCATTTTATCATGCGTGTAGATCGAATCCTTTTATTAGTGTTGAACTTAATTCCTGCCGTTTTTCGTCTCCAAAATTGATTTGTTTCGAAGGGAAATACCTTAATCAAAGTATTATTAATAAAGTATTATTATTCATCTTCCCTTCGAAACAAATCAATTTTGGAGACGAAAAACGGCAGGAATTAAGTTCAACACCTAATAAAAAAAAATAAAAAAAATCCACAGATTTATTATTTCCGAAGAAGTACTAAAAAGTCATTGTAAAATGTTTCCCATCCTGAATACATATTTTATCATCTGTAATGAACTGAATAAGTGTTGATACTGACTCATTGATGTCATAATGTGCAACGCCTCTGATATACTACCTTTTATACGGCGTTGCATGGCGTAGTAAGATGCATTAGGAACCACACTATAAAAGCAAGGAACATTAACTCTTTCGACACAAATAATTAGCGATATCATGGATAAAAAATAAATATTTGTAAAAATATTTATTCAAAAAGGAGAAAAATATAATTAAAAAAAATGAAAATATTAAATTTAAAAATAAAAATAATAAAAATATGCATAAACTTTTTTTTTTGGATTAAATTTCTGAAAGCAATGATTTGATTAATAACACTGTGTCATATATCACAAAAATATAATATATACTTTAGGAAAATTTTAGATTGCTAGTTTTTAATTATAGAAGCTGTTTTCATCACATATAAATTACATGCTTATATATTAATGTTGAATTACGTACTAAGCAATAGGATATCATATAACTTAATTACGACAGATTCTTTAAAGATAACGAGGTATATTAATATTATCGTCATTAAAAATCATATTGTTCGTCTATTCGCGGTAAGTAAGAAACTGACTTCGCATATAATGAAAAGCGAATTTCTCTACGACGAAATTATTGTAATTAGATTACTTCAGAGGATTTTGCGTGTATGTATGCTCATCTATGTGTGCGTGGGCCGCAATTGTCATCTTTGTTACCGGTTTTCTTGCGAGCTAACATCGCGTCAACTACGTAGCGCATCTAAATGACATAAACTGCCGCTATTAAGTTATGTCAATCTACGTATTTATATCCGTTATGAGAGTGGCAAAAACGGGTTGTCACATTCTTCTGACGTCTATCACATAAGATAGAGGATGTTGCGTATGACCGTCATCCTGTACATGATCTATTCCGTGTGATTGAACCGTTGACATTCACTAATGACGTTTCCATCCACCTGTCTGATTATTACAAGTGGTTATCTTTTCTTTTTCATCGAATGTGAACGCGGGATAATATATTAGGAATTTCTTTTAAAATGTATTTTTTAATAATTAATTAATTAATTATTTATTAGTTAATTTACATAAATTATTTATGAATACTCTATATTAATAAATATATATTAATGTTCTATCTTTTCTTCATTTTTAATAATTTTTTTATAACTATTATTTATATATATATATATATACAGTAATTCGTTTCCTGTCAAAGATTTTATTGCGGTATAGATTTTTATGCTTTTGCTAATTTATCGCATTTAACACATCACGTAAAGTACCACTTACGACAATTGTATAGTTACAAGGATATTTATGGATTATTTAGAAGTCTGAAATAACGTACTAGAAATACGCAGTTGTTCGTTAAATGACAGCTGCTATTGTCTAGCTCATCTTTTACCGGTAAAATAGAGAGCGTGTTTAGAAAGCAAGTGGAACTTTCGCTAACGATCTGCGGCTTGCGTTAACCGCAAAACCGTAAATAAACCGTGGCCATAATATTTGACCGTGGTCCACTGAAACTAAGTTCAAGGTTGCACATCTTGT